TCATATTCTCTTCCTGATGCAGCCCCCACTTTTCTTCTGTTTTTAATGTACATGCCGAAATGCATTTGTTATACGTTCCCTTTTTCTAGAAACCTATATCAGTGCCAGGTTATATCTATCTATAATGCACAGTGCAATGTCATATGTGAGATGCAAAGTATATCTAAAGAAGCACCACTCTGCCAACAGTTAAGCTGTTTCAGGTATCCAAACCACCTCATTTCAAATGAGCACAGGTATTTCCCCAGTACAGCATCAACATATCCTCAGAAGAACAGATTCCTTTCCATCACAGCAAGATGAGCACCACAGCTGGTAATCCAAAGGAACATAGAGAATTTAGGAAAGATAACTGATGGAAGATTCTTTTTTTTTTTTTTTAACCAAATATCATTGGAAATAATTCATTGGATACTGAGACATTCCAGGGGGTGGGGGGGACCCTAAGCAGGGGTTGGCTTCTCTCAATGACAGAATGAAGAGTACCTAGAAAAGATTTTTTCCTTCTAACAAGCCTTGGACAAGTTAACCTAAATCTCTAAAATATCTGTCTAATAAAAAACACTTCTGTCCAGATTTGCCTGTTGTCAGTTTTGTTTTGTTTTTTTAAATTCACAGCTTGATTCTTTCATCCTCACTAACAGTACCTTAGTACACAAGTGTCTCAGCTCAGCTGGGCATGACATAGGGCTAGCAGAATCAGGTCTTAAGCAGCGTTGTATATATGAATATCAGCCCTTCAGGGTAAAGATTCTGATATTATCTCACCTTCTTTCGAAATTTCTAATGGCATGAATTGATTAATTTGTCTAACCTGAGGCTCAAAATAGACGTTAGCTTCTTTTACCTCAGTTTCATATAAAACAAAGAACTCCACCAAACAACCATTTAATATGATGCTTTTTTCCTGGACTTCAGGTAAAAGTTAGCAATGTGCATTCTAGACTATAACTCACTGCACAGATTTGGAAAAGGAATTCACCTAAACAACAGTGCAGGCAGGCAAATCCATTTCTCTTCTATCCACTAATGTTTACAAGGTGATTGAAACGCAAGGTCAATTTTCATTTTCAGCCTCTTGTCAAACACTCCAGAGGTTCAAGCACTCAAGATTCACAGCTTATATTGGCAACTTATCCATTTGTATCTAATTAACTAATGTCCAACATTCATGTTGTGTATTTGGCTGCTTCAGATTGCTGATTTTTAGGGCCTGGTAGCCTGTCCCCGATAAGCTCCGTAAACAGACCCCTTCAATGACAGGAGCTCTTCATAATGCTACACAATTCAGATAAAAGGTAAGCATGAGTCATGGTAGCTGGAAGTACTTGGCAGAAATCTCTGATCTGTTAATATAGGTTCTGGTTTTTAAAAGTGCTCAATAAGTTCACATGTAGATGACTAAAATATATGTCTACCTGCTAGATACACTTCTTCCTTATTGTAAACAAAGATATTTTTATATTATATATACACATTCTATATAAATATATGTATATTTTTAAATAACCATCTTCTTTGTTTACAGTAAAAAATAAGTGCATCTAGCAGGTAGATTTATGACTATCATATCAAGTTCTCTATAACCAAGTACCAAATGACTACCAAGTACCACGTTTCCTCATTCTTACTAAAATGGGCATTTGGTCAAAACAGCATTCAACGTTTGCAAAGTTAAAGGAAGTCGCTCGCTCATTCAACTTAAACACTTGTCTGACTTATGGTTTATTATCTTTAAGGTGAGCTCCGATTGAAAGAAAAATTAGTAGTCTTTCAAACAAGTTGACACAGTGATGCCTGTTACTCATTCATGTTACTGCCCTAGTTGTTTTCCCCCTCCCCTTTCCCTCCTTTAAAATGTTATGAACACTCATCTTTTATGAGCTGGCAAGCAAGCACTCTCTCTTTCTTTTTTTTTTCTTTCAAAGCTGTTACTTCCTGCCCTCGTTTCAAACATTAACACCTTTCCAGGGAATATTTACAAACTATTAGCAGTTGGATTTATAATGCTGAAAATTATACACATGTTCCTTCCCCAACCTTTTGTCCACATATTCTAAAAGTGAAAGGTCAAGAATGAGAGTCAGAAGCTGCACTCTTAACTCCACAGAACAGCACAGAAAGAGGCAGAGCTTTTCTTCAAAGGAGCCGCAGCCTCTGTGTCCATTACACGTGTGGCTTTTGTGCTGAGGTTGACAAGGGAACCACCTGCAATCACACTGGAGTTCAGTTTGCTTTATTACTGTAATGTGGACACATTTCTATTAGAAACAGGGAAAAATTCCAACTTACTCTGCACAAAAAATCCAGTAAGAGCCTATGGCCTATTCAGCCCTGCAGCAAACAGCTCCATATCCCATTAGCCATCTCAGGGGCCATCAAATTTCACCCAGATATGCAGACAACCATTTTAAAATACATCTCAGAATATTCATTTGTACAACAAAAGTCATCAAGCCTGCCAGACTTGATGGCAAATCAAATATATGTTAAAAGTGAATGAAGAAATGCATGTTTCTCCAATATCTGGAGCAGAACTTTTAAATTCAAATGAATCACTGCCAGAAATCAAGGGAAACACTACTATAATAACAGAGTCTTTATTCCCCTCTTACACAGTAAATTCAAAAATGATTCCATGAAATACTTGGAATTGTGAAATTTGCATTTACATTAAAAAGGGAAATACCCAAACGACAAAGGAAATGCCAAAACATATTGAGTTTTGCAAACACAATGCAAAAAATAATAAAACATTACTGTGGTTCAGGAACCAAGTCATGAACATCCCATTAAAGCTTTAAAGTGAACTTGCATATTGCCAGGATCTTCTCCAGAAAGAACACCACTGTTATATGTACATTCCTATTTAAATTCTTAAATAATTGTAAAGAAAACAATACCAGTCTGTAGTCCTGACCTCATTGGAGAAATCTAAACAGGTAGAAATGGTGAAATACCAATTGACTGCTAAAAAACTATTAGGACGATAATTTTCCACTGACCTACATCACAGATAATATGAAATATACTACATATGGCCTCCATATTTTATTTACTTGATTATATGACTACAAGAGGAGCAGGATATAAAAGTACAGAGCTATAATAGTTCAACCAGTGCAAGAATTATGCAAGACAAGGATTTTTTGAGGTGATATGTTTTATTAGACCAACTGCGTGGTTGGGTTAGACTTGAATAAGCTTTCAAATACAAAACATTCTTCATCCAGACCTCACGAAATGATGACCTCTTCCCCTGTCCTCTTCATTTCCCCCTTACTTTGTGGCTGTCTTGGAAATGTGTTCATATACCTAGGCCTTTCAGATGACTCAGGTAAACAGATGAATCTCGGATCACTCCAATTCAGTTTCAGCACCAACCCAAAGACAAGGTCCAACCTCACAACTAAGACATATTATGAAACACCAGGCTGTGGTCCACGAAAAAGAAATTGAACACAAGTATTAAGAACCTGAACCCAACTTCTATGCCAACTGTGAGACACAGAGCATCGGGTTGCAGCCTAGCCAGACCCAGTGCCTGTAAGCATCAGCAGCAGGGAGTTGTGCCCTCTCCATATCAGCACTTATGCATTGTCTGTGCTATGGATGGGGCCAGCAGGTTCCCAGTCAGGGCTGGGGATCAGGGCATGCTACAGCTCTAGACAGGGATGGAGAAAGATGTGGCCATTGAGAGGACACCAAAACTCACGTGGACCTTTAAAACACACCAAAGTCATTAAGTGGCCCTCCAGCCAAAATAATTGCCCACCCC